CATTTTTAGACTAGGTGCCAGCACAATTTTTTTTGGGGTGGAGATGCTTTGGCCTATTACTGTTCATTGAGTCTGTTACTGTTCAATTAAGTGGATAAATGGGCTGGGTGCTGGCGCAAAGTGGATAGGGGTGGAGTTGCTCTTACAAATCACGGCAATATGCATGAGGAGCCAACTCTGTTTACCTTATAGTATAACGGTGTACCGGAGTGCAAGAATCGTCACATACTAGAGGATTTGGGACGAAAAGCTAACTGGAGAAGAAGGGAGGAAAAAGATGCCTCATGCATCAAAGAGTTGGTGTTTAACTGGAGAAGAAAGAAAGAAGGAAGAAGGAAGCAAATAAATGGCAAATGCAAATTAATACCACATGGTTGGCATATGGGGTGGTACTACAAATACAAAAATATTCTTTCACCAATATGACATTTTGTAATTATAATTGCCTCGTGTAATGGGAATATGAAACTAATTTATCAACATACACATTACTTGAAGTAGCATCTGAACACAAATTTCAAGTTTCGAATCGATTAAGAATTCAAATTCATGTTATAGAGTCAATCTCATTCCTCAAACTCGAACCCTAACCCTACATTTTCAATCTCGGACTACAAACTCCAAAATTCTATGTTATATGTTCATAAACATCGTCATCTGAAACTTGAAAAACGAGAAGATCTTCTTTTATTCCATTACAAAAAATATCTCCAAAAACAAACTGCAAAAAGAAATATAAAACAATACAACGTCTTCCGGTTAACGTCCGTTACACAATTATTGGAGCCCATTCTTTCCCGTTCGCCCAAGTAACCTAAATGACGAATCTACCCCTACCCGCCCCAATAAACCACAACAGAGGGCTCTAAAGATCAAACCAAGCTCTCCCATCTCTTAAAAAATGGCTATCCTCTCTGCTCAATTCGCCTCTGCAGTGGCACTGATTGCGGCGGCTTCGCTGTGCCTGATCGACGCCAAGCAAGCCGGAATCGGAGTCGAAATCGGAAGCAGAGGAGGAGGAGGGCAGAGGGAGTTCGATTACTTCAACTTGGCCCTGCAATGGCCTGGCACTTTCTGTCAGCGCACCCGCTATTGTTGCTCCTCCAATGCTTGCTGCCGCGGGTTCATAATCTCTTCCTTGTTTAACTATTAATTTAAAAAAATTGATTTTTTTTTCCCGTTTTGGTTGATTTTAATTTGGTAAATTAGGTTGAGCTTCCGTTTGGTGGTTTCTGAGTTGATTTTTTGAGTTGATGTTTTCTACCTTTGGGTTTTCTTGTTTCAGCTCAAATGGTCCAACCGTGTTTACAATCCGTAAGTATTAAGATTTTGTATTATATTGTGTATTGCAGAGATGAAAAGCAAGAATTAAGTTGATTTTCACTTGAAGTTCAAATATTTTGGTTAAGGCATGTTGGTTCATATTGTTGGAAGCTAATTGCTTTAATTGGGAATTCAGAAAGCACAAATATGTATTAGTCAGCAGCTGCTTTTTTCGGTTTTCGGTGTTTTCAGAAAAAGAAAAAAAAAAAAAAAGATTCTTGGTTAGTTTTTGAAAGGCAGAATCTGAAAATGTTAAGTTAATGTATTCTTGTAGTGAATCCAGGAAATGGATTTTTATCTTTCACTTATGATCAAAGTCGTCCAACCCATATTTTATCCATTGACTGCTGTTTGATGGTGAATCGGTATATGATAGTGTATGCATAAATCTTGTTTATACATGTGGGAGATATGCTAACTGGCGCTTAGTATGTGACTGACAGATGGATTGTGGCCTGACTACAATGATGGAACCTGGCCTGCCTGTTGCACACAGAAAACCTTTGATGAGAAAGAGGTGTGTATTTCTTATTTCGTGTCTACATGGTTTTGGGGTTGTGAATATTTTAGTGACTCTACTTGCTCACATAAAGGGAATCAGGAACTCCCAAAAGAAAGATTTTCTTTTAGCCCATGAGAAACTGTATAATGAATACTGATTGACTGGAATATAGCACCCACATTAACGTCGCTTTGTCTTCAACTTTGGTGCTTAAACAGCAATGTTTTATATTTTCATTTTAAATGTCTCTTATAGTGGCAGTGCCTAAATCTCATCACTGTCTCTGTATCTACTGTGTAGATCTCAACATTGCACGATGCTTTGGAGAAATACTGGCCGTCTTTAAGCTGTGGTAAACCATCATCCTGCCATGGTGGAAAAGGATCATTTTGGGGTCATGAGGTGATCATTGATTGTGGACTTAATTTCTTCTCAAATTCTAGATGACCTTTACTATGAGCTAACTATTCTTCATTCTTGTGTTTTCATGATGACTGAATTCCTGGTATTACAATGGCAGTGGGGTAAGCATCTTTGCCTTTTGCTCTTTGTTGCTTACAATGAACAGTCAGTTGTTTGTCTGTAGCCTTTGCTTTTAAAATTTTTGCCAAATTAGGTTGAATTCAGACCTACGAGCAATGACCCTTTTTTTCTTGGCATGCATCACTTGTGCAAGTTCTGATTCCTGCATCCTTTTTCATTGTTTCTTGCAGAGAAGCACGGGACTTGCTCCTCTCCAGTAGTTGGAGATGAATACAATTACTTTTTGACAACCCTCAATGTCTATTTTAAGTACAATGTCACTGTAAGTTCTAGAGTTACTGTAATTTGTAACATTGATGCTATTGCTGGCTTATTTCCTTGACACTTGGCAATCCATCATTTGTTTTGTCATTCATATCCATTATTTTGAGGTTCTTATTAGAAAATTGGTTTAAGTTGGAGTTTGTCCATTTATGTATTTGGTGTGTAATGGTAGTTTCCTTTCCCTGTCCTCAGCAAATCCTGAATGAAGCAGGATACGTACCTTCCAATACCGAAAAGTATCCACTTGGAGGCATTGTTTCTGCTATTCAGAATGTTTTCCGGGCAACCCCCAAGTTGGTTTGCAAAAAAGGTGCTGTGGAGGAACTTCATTTATGCTTCTACAAGGATTTCAAGGTTTGCCTCCTATCTACAGCTTATTTAGATTGTATATTTAACTGAATCAATGAAAATATACACTTGTACGTCAAGGAGTTAATTTCTGTTGTTTTGGTGGGTAAGGGTTATACATCTTTCCGGCATATTTTACTTCAGGCATGTGACTGGAGTTTTCAATAATTGAATTAGGTCGTTTCCTAAAAATCTTGGACAGTGGTAACATTGGACAATGAGATTATTTTGAGATGGGCATTAAAGAGGAATTCCATTGTCTACTTTGTATATGGTCTTTTATTATGTGCAGAAAATTTCTTATGTATTCTGAATATTTGATGCTACTGCAGCCTCGGGATTGTCTGGTTGGATCTGGCAATCTAAATGACAAGTTAGCTTCAAGTAGCTCATGTCCCAATTATGTCAGCATACCAGCATATGCATCATTAGGTAACTATTCTTTAACCCAAAATTATCTGAAAGTAGATTTATGTGTACGACGTCAGCCTGTCATTTTTCTTTCGAATTCCATATTTAAATTTACTTTGCAATGTTCATTATTTGCGGATAACGTGTGGTATAGATGGCTTTCTTACTTGCAACGAAGCTGGTAATCTGGATCCAAAAGGACCACCCGTTGGGGGTTCAAATGTTTGTGCTTGCTGGGTTTAGGGTTTTCTTATCTTTCATACGGTCATGCATCTATCAGTTGCCTGTCCTTTAAGGCCTTCACAAAAAAAAATCTTAAAATGCAATATAACGAAAGCCTAAACTTATAAAGTTGTTCACATGTTTGTCTCCATGTCATAAGAGGGCGTACATTCGTGAGTGCATAATTTTGAACCATGAATTATCATTCAACCATTCTAGAATAAATTTGTCATCCAACACTTATTCTAGCATAACATGCTATCAAATATTGTTATAGGGTTGTTGATAATTTACTTTTTCTCTATGTGCAGGGCACGGCGGTGGTGAAACTGAGATTTCAAGTGCCTGATGCTGATGTTCCAAGATCTTGGCAGAGGTCAACATGTTGTAAAACGATCAATTCATTGAAGTTTATTTTTTAGCAAAGCTACGAAACTCAGTCCATCTGTAGCAGTGTGGTGTAAATTCAGACCCCAAAAGTTGGGAATGTTTTGCATAGCATTGCTCTTACGGAATTGTATTGCTTCAAAGTTTCTCTGTATGCTAGAATGCAGTGTAAATTCAGAACCCAAAATAAAATGGTAAATTCTTGGCATGCAACTTATAAAACTCTCTCTCTCTCTCTCTCTCTCTCTCTCTCTCTCTCTCTCTCCGAGGTGGAGAAGTGGAGGTGGTTCAGCCGCCCATATATTCTTGCTTTGTACTTCACTGCTGCAGGCCGTAGCCCCACCGTGGAATGATAACATGATTGCAAAGAGGAACGAAAAAGAGCAAAACAAGAGACTTGGTCTTCACAAAGTGAGCTCTTTTATTAGAAAAAGATTATGCCAGATCAGATCAAGGAAATATTTTCAGATTGGCTGTACTGTCTTGGTTCAAACCCTAACCTGTAGGTCCAGGTCTGCCCCACCTACCAAAACCTCTGGTTGACCAGACCTTTGGAAGATCTAAAGTCACATGAAATCCATTTTTTCTGGTTTGATCCTAGTGGCTGGTTCGGGAGTGCACTTCTACCCATATGCATTTAACGTTTGAATCACATGAATGACGAATTCGATACCAATTTATTATGGCAGACTCATTGTGTGGCTTAGTTCATATCTCTCACCCTTTGCCGTAATTTTATGGTTGTATTAAGAAAAGAAAAATTGATTCCGATAAATGTTGATTATTTGAAAGTTCTCTTAGCACCAATGGCGAGGGGAAATGATTTCGACATTCTATTTCTCTCCCTCTGCAATATTCTAATTAAGGGGTAGGAACAAAATGTGAGGGTCCAAACGAAGAATGTGAAACATGGGCGCAATATTACTTGGTATAAGCTTTGAACCAGCCCATATTGTTCCATATGTCACAAATCTGAAGTGCATTGCTTGGAAAGCTGTAATTTCTTTTTATATATCCGAACAAGGAGGCTAGGTTGTGCAGCTTACCTAATGAATAATTATAAATAATTACAACAGCTTCAATTATTTTTATCAACTCTCCTTACAAGTTTCAATATTCAATCATTTGTCAACTTGTTCCAGGTATATATACATCTGTTCAAATATTCATTTGATCGCCCACTACTTTCCCTGTTTTCTCCCGCACAGAGAGAGAGAGAGAGAGAGAGAGAGAGAGAGAGAGAGAGAGAGAGAGAGATGAAGGCATTCATAGCTTCCATCATCATCGTCATCTTTGGCTTATCAGCCAGAGTGAATTCACAAACAGATTCATGCAGCTCGAGTCTAAACTTGCAGAATGTCAATTTGCCATTTGATGCAGCTTCTCTCAATTGCCTTGTTGTTTGGGATGCTCATAACTACATCCTCAGAGTAAGTCAATCACTTCTTTTCCATCACTTTCATTTTCATATACATATATATGAGGGATTCTTTGCAAGAGGTTCCTTTTTTCTTAAAGGACAGAGGTCTTGAGGAAATCTCACTTATGCTCAGTTTTATTGAATTTTAATCACCTATGTTGAGTAGAAATGAGATTTTCTCAGCCTATCTGTTTTAAGTAAAACAAACGTCATTTCGAGGGAAAATACATGCTTCTTTTATTGACACTTTGATCACCTTTAGATTTTCTCAACCCATTTCAGTTTTTTAGAAAGAAAAAAAACGAACATCCTATCCAGAGAAAAACACTATACATATGCATATATAGTCATCTCAATCACATCCAATGATATTCATGGTAAAGCTGGTTTATATGAAAAACTACATCATTTTTGCAGTACTCACAAACTTCATCAAACCTATGGACCTTTGTCCTCTCAGCACCTGCTGCTAATTCATACATTGCAATTGGGTTCTCAAGCAACGGCCGGATGGTGGGTTCCAGTGCAATTGTGGGGTGGATGTCCTCAACAGGAGGAGAGATCAAACCTTATTACTTGGGTGGGACCTCACCTAACCTTGTGGAGCCCAACAAGGGGAGCCTTCAAGTTGGAACCAACTTTTCCTTAATTACATCCCAGTCCAACAGATTGTACCTAGGGTTCCAATTGGAGACCAATCAGCCGCTATCAAGGCTCATATACTCTGTTGGACCAGATGGGTTGCTGCCTGTGGCTCCCAACTACAGATTGAGTGAGCATAGAGACAAGGTCTCCACCTACATAAATTATGTCACAGGTGAGTACAATTCAAACCAAACTAAGGTTGACTTTTTAATTTTTTTTTGTTTGTTTTTACGAGCGATATTAGAGAATGTGAAATCAAACGTAAAACTATTAATAAGGGTGTTAGAGCAAGGTCAATGAGGCTTCCATCTTGTTCACATAATCAAATTATCACGTAAGAAAATTATAAAGACACAGATTTAAAGACCCTTAGTGTAGGGAGAATTTTAGGGTCCTTGAATCGAACACCTGGCCCATGTGACCAAACGCACAACACTTTAGCGTCCGTATTGGATTAGCATCAATCCTAGTTGTAAATAAAAATTTCTCAAAGTGTAGAGAGCAAAAATCTCTTTAGAGATCCGAGATTTTGTCGGATCTCTAGGAGGGTCTATATCCTCCGCCATTGTTAGAGACTTGAAGACTTTCAATGAGCTTGCTTTAAGAGGTTATTTTCTTTCTTTATTGGTGTAACAGACCTGAGGAATTGTGGAAATTGTGATGTTGACCCTCACCTAAGCTTTGATTTTGATTTGTTGAACATTGAAAACAACTACCCATCTGCTTCTTGTTTTATTTGGAACCTATCAAACATGTACCAGTTGAATAATCTGGTATGAATTGATCTATTACCTATCTTTGTCCTATACTTCATACAAATCTTAGTACGAAAGGGAAATATTCACAAACTCTCCGGTTGTCTGGCAAAGTAAGACGTTTATGTTGTCGGACTACGAATTTTGGATTATGGATCATGTTAATTTTTGTTTGAATGTGTAGTTTAAATTCATAGTCTAACAACATAACGTTTTTTTTTTCTTTTTCTTTTTTTGGTGCAATTTTGAAACAGGTCAAAGTAAATTGAGCACGAAGAGTCCACATTCAAGACTGAGGAAGAGCCATGGAGTACTAAACATGCTAGGATGGGGCATTTTGATGATAATTGGAGTAATAGTGGCTCGTTACTTGAAACCATATGATCCACTTTGGTTTTATCTTCATACTTGCATTCAGTCATTTGGGCTTGTATTCGGAATAATAGGTGTTTTTTGTGGATTTGTCTTAAACAATAAGCTCAATGCTGATGTCTCCACCCACAAATCTCTTGGTATCTTCATTCTTGTGCTCGGTTGTCTTCAGGTTTGCTCTCATTCTTTTGTTTCATATATTCCGGTCATACCACATTATCATGCTGATGTGATTTGACGAGTATCACTTTAGAGTCGCTAAAGATATAGGTTTTTTTTTGTTTTTTATTTTTTATGGTGGTTAAACCCTCTCTGTTAGCATAACGACGCGGTATAAACTCTTTGTTTGTCAATGATATGGATGTTGTATAAACATTGCCTTCTTTCCATTTGGTTTGTTTCGGTTTTAGGTCATGGCTCTTTTGATTCGACCGGAGAAGGAATCGAAGGTGCGAAAGTACTGGAATTGGTACCATCATGGTGTGGGAAGGATTCTGATCATTTTTGCCGTAGCAAATGTTTTCTATGGAATCCATTTGGGAGAGAACGGAAAGGGATGGAGTGCTGGCTATGGAGTTGTTATTGCTATCTTATTTGTTACTGCTTTAATTTTTGAATTAAGATTGTGGCTTAGAAAATAAAGTGTGTATGTGGGGGGAGGGGGCACTTTCTCTTTGTTTATTACTAATTAGACATTCTAATTTGAAAGTTTTTCTTTTAATCATCTCATGAATTTGAAGTGATACAGATATACCATTTATGTATATGACATATGCCTTTCAGAAATTTTTGCACTGTAATTTGTTTCTCACACACTCATGTTTAATCTTGTATGTCATTTTTGTTTGATTTTTTTTCATCTGATGGTTAGAAATGAAAAAAAAACTGTGAAAACCACCTTCCTTTACCAGAAGAGAAAAAGTGTTGAATCCCTTAACAAATCTAGGACAGTTTAATCTGGTTTTACATATTCGATCAAAATTCTTGAACACCGTGTTACTACACAAAAAGAGTAAATAATAAGGATTAAGTATCTAAAACTCCTCAATTTTTTAGTGTAATTCCAAATTGGTCTCAACTTTTTTAAACATTCCAAATAAGTACTTAATCTATTGGAAATGTCACATCCATTAAGCCTTAGTTAAAAATTTGTTAAATTAACTCAGGCATATTTTGTCTCCAAAATCAATAAAATGTCATGAAAGCATATCATCCACCAACGAATGGTCACCACCAGCGTCATCATGCCATCACCTCCAAACAAAACACAAACCCACTAACTCCACCCTACAACTCTAGCCGCCAACATCGAGAAGAAGGTCATAAAGGTAGCTGAAATGTATGGACTGTTATGATGCAGCCACCACCATCTTCATCGCCCATAAAAAAAACTGGAAGCTTTGAGATGAGAATTGACGTGTGAGGAAATCACATGAGTGGAAACAAACTCCTTGAAACCTTATCAGAAATCTTAACCCTCTCCTTTATTAGGAGATTGCCCTCCTAATATAATTTCAATTTGGGTTCATTTTCGATTCAATTCAATACTTGTTGTTTATTGGGTTCCATATTACATAATCTATATTTGAAATTCAAGTTTTGAGGCAACTAATATTAATGTTGACCATGATATACCCAATTGGTGGATTTGGAACGTAATATATATCTATGTTTGAAAAATTAATTGGGCCTTAACCGATGTGACATTTTTAATAGGTTGGGTACTTGTTTGGAATGTTTAAAAATATTGAGATCAATTTGGAATAACACTAAAAGGTTGGAAGGTTTTATGTACTGAAAAATCTTTACATTTTTTCAGAAAAGGGTTTTTTCAAGAAAAAAATTTCGACGATAAATTCGCCATGAAAACTCCGTCGGGAAGGACCTTAGGGAAAAATTTGGACGTTCATTGGCAAGATTTCACTTCTTTCCGACGAATCTTTCTTGACAATGGGTACACCAACTTGTCATATACTTGCCGGATTCTCATTAATTTCTTTTCATTGCAGTGATTAATAACAACCGACTTAGGGAGACTACAATTTTTATACAAGAGACATAAACAAGGATAATGTATACAACTAATATTTGATGAGACTAAGTCATTGATCAACATCACATATCCAAATCATTTGTCATATCATGCGGTAACCCTAATATGTTTGGAAATAAACACATCACCAGGCCACATCACTTCGTACGAAAATATGGTGTCCCCAACATTTTAAAAAATAATAATAATTTAGCAAGCCAGATATTGGGGGAATGAATCAAACGTATGACATCGGATGCAAGAGGAAATGATATTCTTCAGTTTTTATGTTTCTATACAAGCGATGTTGGGGGAATGAATCAAACCTAGGACATTTGTATGGTACATTGACCTAATTTCTTCCGTTTCGGGCCCGTTTAATTCCCGGATTAAAAACTCGGAAACGAATATGAACATAATTCCTTGTTTAGTAAGCACACTCTTGGAAATCCACCAAGTAAACACACAGAAAACCAATTCCTAGCCCTTATTCAACGTCTCTGCCATTTTTACCATCCTATTATTTATGGAAATAAATCCCATAATATTAACCTACCCACAATCCCATGACAGTATATTTATATAATCGTTGCGACTAGAACTTTACTAGTTGAGTCATATTTTTCTCATTGCTTGAGAAGTTGTAGAATTAGCACAATGTATGGTTCAAGCTCAACTTCATCCAAAGATGATACTGTCGTCTCAATCCCCAGCACCGAAAAAAGGCCTGCTGCAGTTCTTGAAGAAGTCGCTCAGCGCGATCCAAAGCTCGCGAAAAGGTTTGTGTTTCGATGATTTTCAATACTCGTTAAGCTAAAATACTTATAAACCAACGTCGGTGACATGCTTGCGCTAATTTTTTTTTTTTTTTTTTAATTTCGCAGGATTATGACTAACCGGAGGTCGGCTATGAGAGCAAAGGAGAGGAAGAAGATGTACATTCAGACGCTTGAATGCAACATACAAAGGTTGCAGTTTGAATTAGCTGCTCTGACTGCTCAGTTGGAACAATGGCAGGTAAATCCAACATGATTTAGCACGCTTAAATATGTTTTTTTGTACAGGCAATATTAGCGGATTGGGAATCAAACTCTAGACTTTGGGTGCAGGAGCAAACGCTCTTATCTGCCCGAGCAATAAGCCCCGTTGCAAATATGTACAGTGACAAATTTTCTGTCATTTTTTCTTTATAAGCAGGTAGACACCCTTTACATAACTGCAGAAAACAATAGATTGAAAGAATGTCTACACCATATTTTGGAAGACATTGAATTGCAAGACGGTAAGAACTGTTGTTTAGTTTTCTTCTATGAACTTTGTTACATTAAAATGCACACAATATAAAGAGCATTTGCGCGCGCGCACACACACACACACATATATATATATATATATGTAAGCGATATTATTGAGGGAGAGGTGAATCCAACACAGAACCTCGATTGTAAGAGTGAGTGCTCTAAACTGCTTACTATTAAAAAGCGTTAATTCACGATGAACATTGCATTTAGTTGACAGCTAAGACATCATGTATTATGGTCAGACTAAATATATTTTTAATTTTTTCTGTTTAATGACAGCCTTGAATTATCATAGCAGAAATGAGATTGAACGTCTGAAAAGACTTGTTTTCTCAAACAATGACTCAAAATATTGATCTGGATCGATGCACACATGTTTTTTCTCCGCAAGGCATAGCATCATTTCACAGGATGCCCCGGTAGTGGTGCACCTATGTCATGAAAGTCCTTCTCCAAAGTCCGCACACGGATTCAGCAATAAAAACTTCAGTAGGGGTTTGAGCAGCAGCATGATCGGCAGAAGTTGAAACAGATGTTATTGTGAAAATAATTGTTCAAGTTCAATGTACTTTTTTGCTGATGATAAGTTTAGATTTATTTAAATTAAGAATATTTACATTTTACGTGACTTATTTTTTTTGTCAATTGTACCCATTTCTTTTGTTTGACGAAGCGATATTCTATACAATTCTAATCTAAATGAATTAGGTGCAAAAAGACAACACGTTGTGATGGCAAGCTAGCACAATAATTGATTTTACTAGTAATCCATATGAAATTCATTAAATCAAAACGATCACACATTTATCAGTGCACCAAACACCATATTGTAAAATTAATTTCACAAATTATCAATTAGAAATTCACAAGTTTTTCACAAGCTAAAAGTACACATGCTGAAGCAAGTTAAATCTTCAGAAAATAATCGAAAATTTCATATCAAATAAGTCAAATTATTTTTTCATCAACAATCATCTCGACTCCCAGATGGGACCTATACACATTTTCTCTTCATTCTTAATGGTAACCTCACTCCTATAACATTTGAACAACTCTATTGCTGTTGAAGTAATCTTAGGACAACCGTTCATGTACAAAACGGAGAGTTGTTTGCAACCATTCCGCAAAGCCACTAAACCCTGATCACATAGATTCCGACACCGGTTGACATGAAGCTTCTCCAACTTGTGACAACTCATCCCGATAGAAGACCATCCCACAATTTTGACCTCATGACACAATGCCAAGTTCCATTCTTGAAGTAGTGGACAACCTTCTGCAATTGCTACAATCGACTCGTCACCAAAAGTTCTACAAAGCCGAAGGTTAAGAATTTTAAGGAGAAAGGCAAATCCTTTCCCAATTGCTGCCAAGCCATTTCTACAATTTTGAAAGATACCAGATATACTCAAATATTCAATCCCACCTCTACTAACAATTCCCAAAAGACCTTCTGGCTCAAGCTTACATGATTCGGCTTCTACATAAGCTAAAGTTGATGAGGAACCTTTAAAGCCAACACCAGTTATGCCCTTGCAATGTGATATCTTAACCGCATGAAGTTGACGAAAACCTTGTGAAAGAGCTTTTAGCCCACGGTCAGAAATAAAATAGCAGTTCAATAGATTCACATCCTTTAAAACTGAGCAAGACTAGCTTAGCCAAATTTCCTAACCCAAAATCAGTAATTTGGCAACAGTAAAGGCTGATAACTTGCAACGAGGGACAACCAGTAGCTGCCATAGACAACCCATGATCAGTAATACCTAAACAACACTCCAGATTAAGGGTGTGCAAATGTGAACCATAATTTACCAAGTGGGACAAGCCTGAATCTGGTAGCTCTGTGCACCCAGATAGGGACAACAAGTGTAAATGCTGAAAGCGAGTAAGAAGCCTGTGAAGATGAAAGGTTCTAATGGTAACATTGGTATTTGAATGTGATAACGAAGAAATGTCAAGTTGTTTGAATGAACATTGAAACTGTAAGGATCGACGACTAAGATTTTGAACACGAAGACATCGATGACAAGTCAAGCCAAAGGATTCACGGTCAGAGCCAGAAACAAGGCATTGGAAAATAAAGACGAGACAATCATCAGGCAAGTCCATGATGGTGGTAAGAGAATTAGTGCTAGAGCTACAAGTAGGTTTCATGTTAGCACTCTTCCGAAGGTTGTAGAGCTCGTATTTTTATATTGAACTTTCTATAAGATGAAGTAGATGATGAGTTGGGAGAGTCAAAACCACAAAGAACAGAAGAGTCTCCATATCCATAACCGATATGAACCCCACATTTACGGCAGAGAAGTTTAGTCTTTGAACGATAACGACCCCAAGAGACTGGAAAACAGTTTACCTCATCAACCTGTGTGAACCGACTAAGATCAACTGTAAGGAATGAAATAAGACCTTTCTTGATGGACTTTCTATAGTTGGAGCCTATGCCAGACTCAGCGGTCAATCGATTTGAAGACGACAAGTTCAAAGGGTATCCACAAGAACCACAACTGTAACAGATTCAAAAAATAAAACCAACCAATTTCAGCATAACAACCAAGCATTGCACATTTCAGTTTCAGGAACCAGAAAACTAATTAAAGATTAGCAAAACATGCACATTTAAGCAATCATCCAATTTTCACTAACCCAATTGACCCAATGAGATTGGAGTGATGAAGGTCAAACATTCAATCTTCATCAATCAACCCAGATGATTTCAAGCACTCAAAAATGAATAAATAAATGGTTAATTCAGTGAGAAAATTGACAATTTAACATGAACCAGTGTGAAAGTAATGAAATTGGGTGAAGAAATTAAATGGCAGCTGATTCAGATTCAGAACAAAAAACGGAATTTGGGAAATTCACCTGTAGGAGACTTGAGCTTGGGACATCCTTCACTCACCCAAGATCGGATTCAGACTCAATATCCTCCGATTCATTGAAATAAATTGCTGGCAATATTACCAGAGTGCAAAGCTTGTGTTTTCTTTGGGATGTTCGTAATTCCGTTCTTGTCTGGTCAAAGGATTTTGCCGGCTTGGGATATCAAACTGGAAGACTCTCTCAGATGACAAAGTTCTTGGACTCCAAACAATATGATGCGGGAAGTTTCCAAAATATAAAAAAAAAATTGTTATCGGCATTCAAAAATTCTCATTCTACACTATATAAGAAAAAAAAAATATTCGTAAGGGATGTATAATAAGATTTTTCGAGTTCCAATAACATTTTCAAAAAAAAAAAAAAAAAATACAAGATGATGTGGGCCGGACTTTGGGTTCTATCCTTGCCTGCCTTCACTTATATAAAAATTAGGTTTCTATCCCTATTTTTTTTTTTATTAATTGAAATCTTTTGTTTTCTTTTTTTTTTTGATTTTTGATAAAGGTCTTTTAATTTCTATCTAGATCGTAATACACGTTAGCATATTTAAATTTTATAACCATTTTCAAAACGTTACGTTTTGTATATTTATATTTATGACTAAATTTTTGCATCATATATTTCTATTTTTAATTTGCACCATTTTTTAATTTGCAACCATTGTTTAATTCAAATCAGTTTTCTTTTTTGTTTAAATTTTTACCCGTGTATTTAATTTCATTTTGTGCCCATATTTTAACTTCAATGTGTACCGTTCATTTTTTAGAATCTTTATTTGCTTTAGTATCTTTATTTGCACCCATAATTTGAATTTTTAATATGTACCCTAAATTAGGTTGGGGTACTTTTTAGGGGTAATTTTATCAATGTTTTCAACTAACACGTGTACGGATAAAATACAAAATTGCGTTTTTTTTCTTTATTATAAGCGATATTCTACTGTAAATACAATTAGATGAGCAAATTTTAGAAATTTTCTATCTATTTTAGTCACATTGCAAAAGTTTGAGGACAATGAAGTAATTTTATCTCTAGTGTTGATAACATATTGCCTTTTTTCTTCTTTTTTTCTACTAGTTCACTTTATACACTTTCTGTTTGAATTAGTCATAGGAGTCCAATTAGTAGCTACAATGTATTGGCTTTGTGCCCAATTAGATAAGCTCATGACGTTATATTTTTTGCATCTATTTCAGTAATATTTCTATAACGTAACCAAATTTAGTAAGACAAGAACTTGCTTGTTGTGATACAAAAAATTTTCATTAATGGCATAAAAGAATCCTTACTTCCACACGAAATATTTGGTAGGAATTCACTTACTAGAGATACCTTTCTTCCCTTTCGTTGCAAAGTATGTCACTTTTGCAACGTGCTTGCAAGAAAGATTTATACTTTTTCTAGTGAACAAGAAAACTTCAACTTAGGTTTTACGATGTTCTTATCGTTTCCTTGATTGCACAACTCTTGCAATTGCAGAATGTGAGATGCTGGTTGACATGCAATGCACAATCAATCGCCCATCCTCTAACATCTTATAGTGCAAACTACACAATGTAATTGAGATTTGAATTCAAACCATTTCACCATGTAGATCAAAATGTGAAATATTGGTCGACATGCAATACATTATACAATCATTCGTCTAGCCTCTCAAATGTTGCAATGCGAAACCTACAACATCTATTCATAAACTATCGTGTACGAGATTTGAATTCAAGACTTAGGGCTTGTTTAGAAGTGTTTTTAAAATTACTGAAAGCGCTTTTAGCGAAAATGTTTTTTGGTTCTAAAAACACTTAAAGTGCTTCCTACAATAAGCACTAGTATAGGCTTTCAGGCATTTAAGTGCTTTTTCAAAATTCATTTGTATTTTTATTAAAATTTATTAAAAAAAAAATTTCATCAAAAATATTTTCAATCATTTTAAAAGAACTTTTAAACGATCTCTTACTCTTGACAGATTGTCGAGAGAGAATTGGGCTAATTGAGTCGGCCGAATGCATGTCAAGCCCAAAAGGCAAAAGAGTAATTTGGTGAATAATAGCAAAGAAAGAGCCAATCATTCGGGAATTGGGAAAGGGATGAGGATTGAGATGGCCCACTGAGTCGTGTACAGTACAGAAATCGGTGGTGAGCTGCTAAGTCAATAGAGCTTATAGGGTTCTGAATCCGCCAGAGCCAAGCTTCTCTCTCTCTCTCTCTCTCTCTCTCCCGCTGCCCCTTGGTCAAGTCTCTGAAGCATTCGCTTCTTTGCTTGCTGCGAAGGACCTCCTGCTTCACTCTCCTTCCTCACTTCAATCCCCACTGCATCGCATCCCGAAGATCAGGTTCGATCATTTTCGCACTTTCTCGAATCGATTGTGTGAATTTCTTGATAAATTACGCAGTTTTGGGTTTGAATCGTTGTTTGGTGATTGGAGATTGATTGCTCTGTTTCTTCGTCGTTGATTCAGGTGCTCCTATGGCTTCCGCGCAGAAGGATGTGCCTGCTGCTGCTGGTATGCTTGGTGTTGTTTCTCGCACTGTTAATTGTTTTTTTTTTTTTTTTGGTGTGTGTGTGTGTTCATTTGATTAGCAGTTCCAGAGTGTCTGAATTTCTATCAGTCTCTAGGAGTGGGTTTAGGGGGTTAAAAGAGAGAAGTATTCTTTGTTTTGCTGAAAATTCTTGCAGATTTTGGTGTTTAATTTTATTTGGATTTCTTAATTTGATCAAAGGATGCTTTGGTTAGCAGCCAGTTTTATTTATTCGGATATATAGCACCGAGGGTATTTGTGAACGGTGAAGCGGTTTGTTTGGGTTCATGTATCTTAAACATGTAGTGAGAAGTGAGGGTTTTGTTTGTGTTTTAGATAATCTGCAGGAATATGTAATTTGGGTTGCTTTTTTAGACCATGATAAAGTAGTCCAAGTAAATTGGGTTAGTTTTATTTACTTTTTTAGTGAAGCTTGATAATTGGCTAGTCTGATAACTATTTTCTATATCCTTTTGTTAATTGATTTTTTCATTGAAACTGGATGCAAAAGCCGCCAATGTCTTTTGGAATTTAATTTTAAGAGACTAAGAGTATGCCACTCTCGCGTTCATCGTATCTTTTTCAGGCAAAAAGCCAGTTTCAACAGAGAACAAAAGCTCCAAACCCGAAACAACAGAGAACAAAAGTCCCAAGCCTGAGGCATCTTCTGGAGACTCACTGTCAGGACAACCAGGGGCTACCCCTTTCCAAATTCCAGAGGCTGGATTTCCTCCCAATCCTTTTGATTTCTCAGCCATGACTGGCTTGCTGAATGTATGTTATTGCTTTTATTGCGTTTTGAGTTTGAAAACATTTGAATGACTGAGCATGGGAGAAGAATAATTTCGATTAAATTAATAATTGAAAAGTTTATAATTTATCCAACTCTCAGACCTCTGTTGCTGCACATACGCCTTTTTACACTGAATCTCAGGGAGCAATGTGCACTGTGCCATCCATTTCACAATGTATTGAATTCTCTATAGTAATTTGGGGGTATTATGCCTCGATGCGAAATGGGTGAAACTGTGCTACCAATCCAAAACTCAAGTACTAGTAAAACTTTAAAACGTTTAAAAAGTTCAATCAGTCTGGTTCTTGCTCAAAGTGTCTTATATGTCATATGCACCAGGATCCTAGCATTAAGGAATTAGCTGAACAGATAGCAAAGGATCCTTCATTCAACCAGATGGCAGACCAACTTCAGAAAACTTTTCAAGGTGTGTCAGTTGATGAAGGTGTCCCTCAGTTTGATAGTCAACAGTACTATTCCACCATGCAACAGGTTATGCAGAATCCTCAGTTCATGACCATGGCTGAGCGCCTTGGTAGTGCATTGATGCAGGTAATGTGGTCTTTCTCCTTTCATGATTATTTTTTATTTATTCTCAGTGTTGTGCAAGTCGTTTGGTTGATTGAATTTCAAGCTTATTAATTTTTCTACTCAGGATCCATCTATGAATACCATGATTGAGAGTTTCGCCAATCCCTCGAACAAAGATCAGCTTGAGGAACGCATGTCACGTATCAAAGAAGATCCTTCTTTGAAACCTATTTTGGAAGAAATAGAAACTGGTGGTCCAGCTGCGATGATGAGGTTAGTAATCCTAGATTTGTTATGGGAGCTGGGAACTAATGCTTAAGCTATAACGTTTTCTTTCTTGAGACATAGTAGTGGAATTGGACTTGATTGAGTACATATTTTTGGTGTGCTAAAGAAGGAAATTCTGCTTTGCAGATACTGGAACGATAAAGACGTTTTGCAGAAGTTGGGAGAAGCAATGGGTCTTGCAGTTGGGGATGCAGCTACTTCTACTGAAGCACCAGAAGAAGCAGAAGATGCCGGAAATGAGGATGAATCAATTGTTCATCACACTGCTAGTGTTGGTGACGTGGAGGTAGAGCACACCATTGTCTGCTCTTAACTGTTAATAAGATATTGCCAATAAGAAATTATGCAATTGAGGCATGATTATGGTATTTGAAATTCTGCAATTTAGTTGGTCCTAATTGTTAATAAGAAATTCTGCAATTGAGGCATGATTATGGTATTTGAACTTATTTCTGCTTTCAAACTCATGGCTTTTACACCCAAGCTCTTCATGTTAATTAGTTCTATTAGTATGCTTGCATGATTTCTGGTAACTTAGCATTTGATATCAGGAAATATACCTCCATGTTGAACCTTGATTTGTATATACCCTACGTGTTTGGTTCAACTTAGCAGATGTACAAGTGTTTAAAATTTCCGATCTGTCAATTAGGGTTTGAAAGCTGCCTTAGCATCTGGTGCTGACAAGGATGAGGAAGATTCAGAAGGGAGAACGGCATTACATTTTGCATGTGGATATGGTGAGGTATGATATCTTTTGGAGTTCCTCTCTTTTTATTTGTTTCTGCAAGCCAATACTTGTTATCATTGGGTGATGGACCTTTCGCACATATGCGGAAATCATGCAGTTCTGATATGATCACAAGCTACTGCTGAACCTAAATGATCATGAAGAAAAAGGGGTGGGGGATAGAGTTCTGTTAATGGTTTTATACTTTGATTTATGGAGGTATGCGTCTCATTTCATTTCAGGTGAAGTGTGCTCAAGCTCTTCTTGAGGCTGGAGCAAGAGTCGATGCTCTTGATAAGAACAAAAACACCGCACTTCATTATGCAGCCGGTTATGGTAGGAAGGAATGCGTGGCACTTCTACTTGAGAATGGCGCAGCTGTGTAAGCCATTTGTTAAAATTCTTAAGTCCTCTATATGAAATTAGATATTGCCCCACTCGTAGGTTTACTCATACTCTTTTGTTTCCGGAATCTGCAGCACTCTCCAGAACATGGACGGCAAAACCCCGATTGACGTTGCCAAGTTGAACAACCAAAATGACGTACTAAAGTTGCTCGAGAAGGACGCCTTCCTGTAATTCTTCATAAAGTTGTGGTTGGCATATGCTTACGGTTGTTTCATGTTAGGCATATGCCGATTTGGATTCAGTCTACTTGGACGATTGGATCGGCGTGAGGAGGATATAAGCAGCCCCATACCTTACTGCTTTGTCTATGTTATGTTTACCTTTTATGATTCCTACGTCGCTAGAATGTGTTAGTAACAACCTAAAACATTTTGATGGGAGACATGGAACGTGTTGTGTGGCGTATGACATGTAGCTTTCGTTGTTATTTTGGGATTTCATTTCTCATTGGTGAAAGAAAAAATGAAGATGGTGATTGATTGCTTATCAAATAATTTGTTTGCACTACTCAAGTTTCTGAGTAAAATACTCTCAACATAAGGTAGGGGTAAACTGATGAAGGGGACTGCACTGAGCAGGAAAAAAATAAACGAAGGGACCGTTTGAAAAATCAATAAATTAGTTTTTGCTGCAATCTTATTAGATTAGGAATGAAATTGTGTAAATTCAATCATATCCGGAATATTTTTATGGGATTATATCATATCTCTTAGACTGATATTATTATATTAGAGTTGTAATTTTATTAGGGTATGGATATGACACACACACATCTCTCTTTCTCTCTATTGTCGTTGCACCCCCTCTCTGTCTTTTATATGGTTCAGTAAATTAGACTTACAACATGTTATCAACACGCTCTCGACGCTGTGCTAAAGAGAGTTTAAGTATTACATTTTAATCATTCTTTTTATAATTTATTTATTATTTTATTGAATTGATCAACATGTTATTGATTCAATTTAATTTTTCTTTGTTGAACGTGGTACAACACATTGGAGATGCAATTTCAGCTTTCAAAGAAGGATCTTCTACAAATTCAAAGGCTTAGCTGTTTTCTGCCAGTTAATTTCTTTTAAAATAAATTAAGATATTTAAAACGATCTTGAAGCATGAAAACATTCCCTATGATGCATGAACCTCTTATATTTATATTTCCCTTTCAATTATATATATTGCATATCTATTCATATATTTTGTCAATATATATATATATATTTGTGCAATATGTAATTATGCTACGTGGAATTGTGAGTCAAAGCATCAAAATTAATTTACAAGCAAGTAGGGTTTTTAACCCTAGAATTCAAAAAAAAAAAAGGGGAAATTTGGGATTTTTTCATGATTGAGCAGCGGCTTCACATAGTCCGAGCCAAGTTGGTTGACCTGCAACTACGCTGTAGTTAGGACGGTGTCATTTTGACGCCCTGCACAACACCGGACCTCAACCCAGGTTGCTCTCCAAACAAGCTTGAAGCCCTTAGTCCACCACCAGGCCCTCAAAACTTTGCTGGGCTATGCCCTGCCGCGGCCCACCTCGCATGCGGCAAGCTTAGGCTTGCTGGGCTTTGCCCACATGGACCCTGCCCGCCTACAGCAAGCTTTGCTTGACATACCCCGACCCGGAATGTCCACTAGGACCTCGAATCGAGCTGTGCTGGCCGACACCTGGAAGGTGACGAAGCCATAAAGTGTGATAGTGTATAAAATGTGAATAAATTTAAACTTAAAAGTGCCTATATACACAACTATGCGGTGAGCGGGTATGAACCCATTTCACATGTGATACAGAGCATAAGACAAGTACAGTGAACAAAGATAATAATTATATCATCAATATAAGCCACTAGAATTGGGAGTGCCACATGTCATCGTCGATACGGATCCATGTTACTAGAACCTGGAGGGGTGAAAAGAATAGAAAGTATGAGTGGTCAAAACAAAGATTTTCAAAATCATTTCCATTATCAACGGTAGTAATTTCCATTATCAAAGGTAGTTTCCAACAAATCATACCACGTAGAAGTATGAAATCAAAAGTATACTAACAGTAAACTTAGAAGTATAATACTACTCAGCATCTCATTAGCAATATAAATAATCATGTGCTTAATAAACCATATTAGCACGCAAGTTGGAGTCACCTATAGTGACCTGTATGACTTATTCATATCTCATCACACATTTCATCAATCATGGCTAGCATATAAGTTGGAGTCACCTATAGTGACATGTACGACTTATTCATATCTCATCACATATCTCATGAATCATGCTAGTCAATAGCTCAATAACATGCTAGCTAATATCTCAATAACATGCTAGCACATAGCTCATCAATATGCAATAACATGCTAGCCAATAACTCAATAACATGCTAGCCAATAGTTCATCAATATGCTAGCCAATAGCTTAATAACATGATAGCCAATAGCTCATCAATATGCTAGCCAATAAGCTCATCAATAAGTATACCTGCACACGAGTCAGAACCACCTAAAGTGGTCTGTACAACAGGCTGGGTGTAAATAAATACGCTCAAGTGCTACGATCACGTGAAGGCTGTGCGAAGTATCGCAAGTCACCTACGAGTTGGAACCACTTAATGTGGTATGTACGACAGGCTGACACCTACCTTGTATTCAAGGTGAGCGTGTGGTGCCGGAGGTAAACGATCACGTGAAGGCTAGGCCCTGGCCACGGGCGGGAGCACTAACACCGGGGTACATGTTTATGAACTCTAATATATCTCAACACAATCATACTCATTACCATCATTATCATCAAAGTGTACTTACCTGAATCTCACCTGAGCGTTCGCAGCATCATTTGGCACTTCAAAGCATTCACAATAATTAGATTCAGGTAATATACATATGAATATGCCATGATACAATCTAAACCCAAACATTTCATAGTGTTTCCAAATATATATAATATAACATAACGTAAAATGCATAATTTGTAACGCCCCACTTCCAAACTACTTAGTTTTGGGAATAATTATCGGTGATAAGCTCAACTAGACACTATTTTAATTAACTATCACTTTTTACATTTCCTTACTTCAATTTCCCGATTCTTCATACATTGATTTATAACCAACATTTAACCACCAACACATAAAGTTAAAACTCACATTTTACACCAATGTCCCTCACATTGTTCAATTCCCCAACCAAAGCTATTGTCTCAATTATTTAATCTCACATCTTGTATGGCCGCATCTAATGTCTCGTTAGACTGCCTACGTACCTTAAATAGGGATCAAGCTATTCGTAGTTCACGTTAATTATTTGCATGTGACATGCATAAATCAATTTAGAAACGTTTGCAGAACTATCAATTATATACATATGATAAGGCGCAAAAGATCCATTCACCTGGAGTCCACGCTATGATTCTCTAGCGCATGCATCGAGGCATCCCGAATGATTGGCGCCTGCCACGAAGTCCAAAAGTGGACGGAAGATGGCCAATTTTGCCCATAATGCCGGCGGTGACTAAAACTTTCCGGCGTCGATTCGTCGTCTACAGTGGACCAACAGGGTCAATGTTGGTTGGGATTTGCTCCTGGGATGATGGGCTACAAAGCTCAAGTGGTGGCATCGGCCATTGCTTTGCCGATTTGCTGGAAAATCAAAAAGGGTGGCCAGGGCACCGTGAGAACCATCAACTTTCGTAGCCTCAAACCGTCATATACAGAGGTTAATCAAAGTGGTTCTTGGGTGGATTTTTGTAGAGGGGAATGAGAGCTTCAAAATGATGGTGGTGGCGTCAAAAGACTCCATCGGAGTTGGCCAGAATTAGCCTTGGAAGATGGGTGGTCGTGGAGGTGTACGGGCGAAAAACCCACGGGAAAAGCTCCCAGCTTTCCCCTTTTCTCTTTTTTTTTTTTTTTTCCCTTTCTCCTTTCTGATTGGGATGCTGCCCTTTTTTTTTCTTTTTCATCTAATTGATCCTTCTTAATCTTTTAACTAAGTCTCAATAACCAACTTCAAACGTCCATAACTATACCGTTATAATTCGGACTCGCAAACGGCTTCTGCTTATGCATTTGCACCAACAAGTACTACGAGGATATGCTCAAAGAATAAGTCATACATCTCTCTAGACGATGGTCAACGTTAGTCAAAATCTTTGCCTCTAGGGCATTTTTGTAAATTCATGCTTTTAAAATTAATAAAAACGTAAAATTTGGAACGGGTTGTCACATTGCTTGCTGGGCTCACCATCTGTCTCGGCCAGCAATCACCAAAGCCAACCCACATGCCTGGGCTCACCTAGAACCGCCCCAAACGAAGCTAGCCTTTGGCTGGACTTCCAGCACACCCATACTAGAGCAGCCCCCGTGTTAGGCATGTGCTCACTGTACCCTTTGTGGCTCAAAACCAGTAGCTTGCCTACTGGGCTCCTTCCCAAAATTGGCCCATGGCTTGTAGCCACACATAGGCTACCTTGGCAGCTTTCCTCGAGGCCCACTAAGCCCTTTAGGGCCTTGCCTTGCACATGACAGCTAGCCCACCAAGTTGGGCTTCGAACCCAATGCCCCATTTTTGGCATTTCCACGTCATAACCATACTCCTATAATTTTTGGGACATTATTGGTTAACGCTATAATTTTATTATTGCTTGGCTCTAAGCCAAAAATTCTAGCTATTATTAACCCAAATGTTATTATTTTGCTCTTACGATCAAACCTGGATGGTTATGATCCATTGAATTAATTAAAGTGACCATCAGTCCATTAATCTGACAAAACATCCAAAATTATTGGCCTGGAGCCCACTTTTTGGCAATTAACAATTCAATAAATTATTTATTTTCTTTGAACCGTTGACTATCTTTCGTAGTCCCGATACACTCACACTTGAGTTCCTGAAGTAACCCAAATTCACTACACTTAGTTGTATATTGTATTCTGTGTTCTTATAGGTATCTCCTTTTATGAACTAAAAGTTCATAACTAAAACCGAACCTGTAGTTTTGAATTTAATGACTTTGAAACTTGAAGTTTTCATAAAACAATACACCCATGAAAACCCGACGTTTTTCATGTAAACCATGTCTTAGAACATGAATGTTCTAACTTTGATCCTTATGGATATCTTATTTTCATAGCACCAATCACAATATTATTCCCTCCAGTTAGTAGATTGTCAAACCGTAATAAGTTCGATTTCACATATTTGAACGTTTCTTGACAGAAACCACTTTATATGGGTACAAGACGTGAATCTTCACTTGACTATTAAGAAGCTGAGTAACCATTGAAGCCAACTATGGCATGAAAGAGCTGAATAAGCCTCTGCCATGATCGTCATTTGAAGACTTATGCCCAAAGCATTACAAACGGAAATTCCTTTCGAACGAGGATTCCATGGCTCTTTGGCCCGCTCATACGGGCTGTATAATCAAGAAATATATTGCTTAAAGCACACCATGATTACGTCCATGAATAAGTACCATTATGAAGTATATAAATCTAATC